CTGCTCCCCGCTGGCAAGTGGACATCCCTAAGGGCTCCCGGGCTGCCAGAGGGATGTCTGATTGCCATCTTAGGCCCAATCCCCTGGAGAGCAGGCCTAAGCCAGAAGGTGGTCATCTCCTGAAGGGTCCCAGATTGCGAGAGGGCACAGGCTGGGCTGAGGGATCCCCCCTCCCTGCCGAGTGCACAAATTTTTGTGCACCAGGTCTCTAGTAAATTATAAAGCTAGAGTCAACATTGCATGGAAGACAGAAATCTAGAAGTCCTATCTGTCGTTAACCCCTTCTCACCCTCCTGATGCAGGAGCACATAAGTAAAATATTATGTTCATAATATTATTTACTTTTCTAATCAAGTGATATGCTTATTCCTGGGGAGTGCACAAAATATGGGCTAAATTCAATGGATATAAGGAACTCAGAAGAGAAAAATTAACAACTTGCAATAGATGACAAAAATCAGAAAATTTAGTATCTTAGGAGATTAGTTGTCAGGATAAACAATGATTTCCTTTTATCAATAAAAATGAGCCCTTCTACATGCTAATGTTACTGGGATTAGAGTATGAACTGATATAACACAGATAGGGCCAGACTCTAGGAAAGGTTTACTATATTTTCATATAGCTCTTCTAGATAATTCTGGCCTACATGCTGCTTTAAGATGACCAGTATTTTTTGTATTACCTCCACCCATTGCTGCCTTAAAAAATTGAGGAAATCAGAATTTTCCCAGATTTAAAAAAATAGTAAACAATATGTTAAAGTTAAGCAGATTATTTTAGAAGTAATTATTAAAAATATAGAAAAATTACTAATTTTGTGAAACTTGTAGTTAACAGTAACTGATTTCCTCTAGTGCCATGGTCAGCAAACTGCAGATCATGAGCCACATGCGGCTTTTTGGCCCCGTGAGTGTGGCTCTTCCTAAGCCTTAGGAGTACCCTAATTAAGTGAATAACAACGCACCTACTTATATAGTTTAAGTTTTAAAAATTTGGCTCTCAAAAGAAATTTCAATTGTTGTACTGTTGCTATTTGGCTATGTTGAATAATGAGTTTGCTGATCACTGCTCTAGTGTAATCTTCAGTTAAAAAATTAACTGTTTGGGGGTTGGTTTTATTACTGGTTATTATTTTGTTTTTGTTTATATTTTAAAATCTTTATTGTTGAGAGTTTTAGAGATGTCCCCTTTTTTCCCCCATTGTCTCCTATCCGGTTCGCTTTCTACTGCAGACCTTCACCACTCTATTGTCTGTGTCCATAGGTAATGCATATATGCATACAAGATCTTTGGTTAATCTCTTCCCACCTCCCTCTGTTCCCTCTGAGATTCATCAGCCTGTTCCATGTTTCCATGACTCTGGTTCTATTTTATTCATAAGTTTATTTTGTTCATTAGATTCCTTGTTCATTTATTTTACTTTTTAGATTCACTTGTTGATAGATATGTACTTACTGCCATACTACTGTTCATATATTTATTTCTTCTTCTTCTTCTTCTTCTTCTTCTTCATCTTCTTCTTCTTCTTCTTCTTCTTCTTCTTCTCCTCCTTCTTCTTCATCATCATCATTTTCTTCTTCCTCCTCTTCCTCTTTTTCTCGATTCTAAATGAGAGCTTTTCTGGGTAGAGTAATCTTGGTTGTAGGTCGTAGGTCCTTGCTATTCATCACTCTGAGTATTTCTTGCCATTCCTTTCTGGTCTGCAAAGGTTCTGTTGAGAAATCAGCCAATAGTCATATGGGCACTACCTTGTAGGTAATTATCTGCATTACTTTGCTGCTTTTAAGGTTATCTCTTTGACTTTAACTCAGGGCATTTTAGTTATGATGTGTCCTGCTATGGACCTCTTTGGGTATCTGTTGTTTGGGACTTTCTGTGCTCTCTGGACTTGTAAGTATATTTTGTGACCAGGTAGTGGAAGTTTTCAGTCATTATTTCTTCAAATAGGTTTTCAGTATCTTGCTCACTCTCTTCTCCTTCTGGAACTCCCATAATGTGAATGTTATGGGTATTCTTGAAGTTGTCCTAGAAGTTCCTTAAACTATATTCACATTTTTGGGTTCTTTTTTCTTTT